TGTCACAAATGGTTTGCATTATATTTAAGCAATCGCACACAAACTTGTCTAATGAACTCCTTTATGTCTACTCCAAAATTAGTCAAATGTGGTGTCCCCCAGGGAACAATTCTAGGACCTTTACTTCCTCTATTATATATTAATGACCTGCCAGATTGTCTGTATTTTTTACAACCTAGAATGTATGCGGATGACACCAGCCTCACCTTCGCTAGCGTAGATTTAAAACATATTGACGACTGTCTTAACTATGATTTAAACAGGGTATATAAATGGCTGTCGGCCAATAAATTGACCTTGAATTTAACAAAAACTGAGTTCATGCTAGTCGCGTCGAGACAAAAGTTATCAACATTTCCTGAAATTCCTTCTTTCAGTAGAAATGACCATCCAGTACAGCAGGTGTCATCTACGAAATCTCTTGGTGTGCACATCGATCAAAATATGAACTGATGATGTCATATACAGAACATTTGCGAAAAGATTGCTTCTGCATTGGGCGCAATCAAGCGAATACGACATCTTATACCGTTTAATATATTAATTAATGTATATGATAGCCTAGTTCAGCCATATGTTAATTATTGTAGTGTTGTCTGGGGTGACTGTGGCAGTGGTCTCTCCGAAAAGCTTCAGAAGCTCCAAAATCATGCAGCCTGTATTTTGATGTGTGCCAATTATAACTCTGATATCGATGAATTGTTCTGGGTACTGGGTTGGCGTAAACTCAAATATCAAAGATTTGAATCAGCTGCTGTTATGATGCACAAATCTTTACATGGGATGACCCCTGAGTATCTGAGTTCTACATTTGTGTTTCGGAACGACATAACATCATATCGATAAAGGAATACTGAAAAGAAATTGGCTCCTCCGCAGCCCCGCACCAATTATTTGAAGAAGAGTTTCTCTTACAGCGGAGCCAGGTTGTGGAACGGCCTACTTGGTGACCTTGGTGACCTTGGTGCAGCAACATCTTTACATGATTTTAAACTTAAAATACGTCACCACAGTTTTGAATGATTTTTAGCACGGCATCCTCGTAAAGCAGCTTTTAGTATGTAGTTTAGGCTAGTTAATTTAGTTAAGGATTATTAGTTGATCTTGTATCATTTTATAATATTTGCTGAAGGATTTACCGTGTATAAATAAAGCTACCATTACCAGGTAAATTCTATAAATTTTATTGTAACACAACCAGAATTCTACTGGAACACAGCCAAAATTCTCTAAAAATTTGGGGACCTTTTATAAGGTTCTAAGGAGCCGAAACTAACGCTTACCACCGGTACCAAAGAGTATTCGCCTTTATTTAATCGCAAAACTCTACTGCGTCAGCAAATCTTTTTTCAGTTCAAAAGCTAATTCCAAGAAATCATGGTTTATACATAATTTCAGCGTCCTGGAACTGGGGTAGAGGTGTTCGCGCTAAAGAACCCTGGCCTTTCTCTGTAATTCTATAGGGCAGACACATATATTACATAGATGGAGTCTATCCAAGTAGAATCGTTCGACGCTCGCCCATGAGCAGGTTTCGGTTTGAACGGCCGAGCTAGTACTAGTCGCGAGTGAAACGCCTTTTCTCGCTTTTTGCTATTTTTCTTCCCGCCTTCCCCCTCGCCCCATCCTCGCCTGCAAATCCTGGTTCGACGCTAACATGATCACCTGACTATACTCTTTTCTTTTTATCTTTCTATTTTTAATAAGAACCTTTTCAAATTCAATTAGACTTTGTTACAAATAAAGGGATTGTAATCCACATCTAAATGCCATGGTGAGGTAAGGGTTTTTCACGAAGCTAAGTGGCAATTCCCAGTTAAGGTGAATCAGGTTTCAAACAACTTCTTCCGATAAAGAGAATTATTAGCACTGGTGCCACTAGAATGTGCACAAGCGAGGGGTAACTAAAGTTACAAGTGACAGGAGTAAAAATAGCGTGAGTCTAGAGCTTAGAGCACTAGGTGTTCTTTGCTACAAATACAATTCTTCTTCTTTACTTAATTCAATATCTCGTAGCCATCCCGCAAAATTCTTCCAATTACGTAAATACCATTTTTTTTTTATCGTTATCTCATTTCAATAAATGATCAAATCTTCGAATAACTTTGGCCTTTAATTATGCGATGCGTGATGTCAAATGGTAGAGTCACGCCTTTCATCAGTAACGCTGTCAAGCTCTTCATTCCATCGATGCACGCCTCAAATGGGGACAAGCACACGTACCAACCAGCACAAAAGAATCCTATTGGCCAGGCTATCAAGATTAGGAAAAAGAACCAGACGATCCCCCAAAGAATCTTCTTTCCATCCATTACAAACTATGTAAGAATTGATTGTTGAACTGTTTCAAATCGGCTCAGCCTGCGCTGTAATTGAGTTATTTGTCTTGTCTAGGCTCAGTGGACGTCCTCCGATCGAGGAGTTTCCCTCCTGCATGGGAGAAAATCGTTTACTGTTATCATTCCAGATATTTCCTTTTAATTTCTCACATTTTTGACGGCTCAGCAAGGCAATTTGAGACATACACGCAATTTCCCAATCGCAGGGTCTTCACTAAGGATTTAACCGCAGTTAAGCTCTTTAATTACCATGATTATAAATTCATTAACAGTTCTCATGGGTTAGATGTGGGTTAGCCTGTAGAGCAGGCGTAATTTTGGTGAGCGAGTGCTCAGTAATTTCATAACGAAAATTATGGCCGTCATCTTTAATTTTAATGGCAGCTTAAGGCTGGGGAGAGAAATCAATTTGTACCGAGGGGGCGGTCGACGGTCAAAAATAAGGAGAGGGTGAGGGTAGGGGAATGAAGATTTTTCCTCTTCCCAATTCCCCCGCTTCCGGATGTCGAAAATCGAGAAGGCTTTTTAGGTGGTTAGAGGCGTGCAATTGCACTGATTTTTGGCTTGGCTCTAACACGTTTACCGAATTTAACGTGCCCGAAGTTGAGGTGAGGGAGGTGAGCGACATTTGGAAGCGGAAGAAATTCGGCGAAGTTCTGGAGGCTTTCGGCCCAGACGGTCCTGGAAGTTGCACGCCTTGTGTTTTTCCTTTGCCTTTGGAAGGGCATCAGTGCAAAGTGGGGAACCAACCGTCCCAAAACCCCGCAAAATCACTCGAGACGACAAAGAAAAACGAAGGTAAGTAAACTTTATTTATCTGACTGTCATTTTGGGGATGAAATGTTTCGATTTGCGGTATTTTGAAACATTTATCGGGATCACTACCGTCTAGCCGAGATCGACGGTTGCAAATTACAAACAATGTAAGAGTTCAACTAGCGTATCAAATAAGTGACGACCCACAGGGTTGTCTGCCTGTGGTTCTGTTATGAAATTTTGTAATCTTATCTAAAGTAGACTGCGCCATAAGCGAATGTAATTTGTCGTTTTAAACCATCAGTTCAAAGATCATTTCCTCGCTTATGGTTTTTCATTATGGTTCGTAACCGCTCTGTGTAATTTGTGATTGTAGTGTTTTGTAACTGCCATCTCCTTCGGTTGCATTGGAATGGTGAAGATTAAAAATAAAAAAAAAACAATCAAAAATTAACCCACCTCCTCTTGCAGTTGGTGAGTCGATAAATCAAAACATGAACATCCCGCAAAGAATGGAAGGAATCGGTCTCACTCAGAAAGTTTTAGTTTTTCAGCGACTAACAATTCGCCTGCCTTCCGCTTCAGCTGGGACTTACGCGAGTCACGAGTTGTGCTGTCCGTCATCATCCCAACATACAGCATCATACGGTAACGCAACGACTTTAATGCCTGCATGACTGCGTACAGCAACGGACTTTGAGTAGGTTATGCATATCCATTTTGGCCTTATACAAGCTCAGTATTTCTTGAATATGAATTGCAATAGTTTTACCAGTTTTAAGATGTTCGTAGAGAGCATCGTCATATGATTACTGGCTGCCTATGACACGCGCATGCTGTATCGATTTCCGTCACGGAACGGACCATAAGAAAGTTATAAGACGGGAGGCTGGGTAATCGATTTCCTTTTTTTCACTTTAAATTTTCGGGTTTGTTTGTTTGTTTTCTCTTATTTTTGCGTTATTTTGCGATCCGAATTTTTTAATCCGACATTTTTACTCTCGTGCAGTTGCCAATAAAGTTATTTCGCAGAATTGTCTTTGCACGAAGTTCGTGTTCCTCAATTGACTCTGAAAAATAATTCGAAAAAGGAATAAACATCCGAAAGAAGCCTGCCTCCCTCCAAAAACAAAGATAAAATTTCAGTTTCGAGACAAATCCCGGAAGTGTGAAGGATTGGGCAAGCCCTCGCGGAAGAAACAATCCTCTGAAAGTTGCAAAGAGACATCTCTTTCGAGTTTGAATACCGTTATACGTTTTCAATTTACCTCTCTGACCATCTGATTGTCAAGGGCTTCTGCCATTAGTAACTCGCTAAGCTGATATTATGTCTCAGTCAATAATATTTCAATGAATAGGATGACAAAATAAAACCTGAAACGCCTTTGAAAAAGTCTCAAATGATCACTTTTTCTACCATGGTAACTTCACACTGCCGCCTGCCTCGTCATTTGCAGTTCTCGTTCCATAAAGCTTGCGTGACATGTGTACACTCGTGAAGGAAACGTGACCGCCGAAGGAATAAAATTTAAATTATTAGCTTACATTTACGAAATATCTTAGCTCATTTAATTCGTTACCGCTTGCAAGGTTAAAAAAAGGTCGAATAAACATCGATATTGAGATTTTTTCATTTATAAAATGATTACTTGGACTGGAAGGATAAACGAAACCTCCAAATGATCAGAACAATTTGCATATCGCTTTGACGAGTAAACAGTCTTTCGTAGTTAGCTTTGTTCGCAAAAAGGCTTCAACCTGCCATTACAGGATTAAATATTTCGATTAAATTATATTAAGGTAATAAAAAAAATTCCTTGGAAATGCTTAAGAAACATAAAAGCAAAAGATCGGTGGAAACGAACGAGGTTATTACAATTTAAATTTGAACGCGTCCGAAAACTGTTGTCTTTGTGTAAATTTTATTCAAAAGCTACGCCAATAATGCAAAAAATAAGAATGAGATGGTGATATAAAGCCCTGTTTTAGTCCAGATAATCTCATTAAGATTGAAGAGTTAAAAGCTACAAAAGTTTGCAGTAGGCTTTTGAGGATAAATTCATTACAGTGATACACTTGAGATAATTTGATTGGTTTCAGGAAACACGAGTGTATCATTCCCATACCGGTGTCCTTTCAAAGCACTGCAGTTGTTACATCAGCGAATGTAGATATCAAGCATTTACATATACTATCGTTCTAACGTCCCATAGGTGCATCTTCTCTTACATATATTGTACTCCACAAAGATAAACTCTAAACTAGGGGGGGCATCGAGCTCCAACTACCAGCCTTGCTTTCCTTCGACCATGTGTTGGGCCACTTCAAGCGGTAATTTGACGCCACGCATTAAAAGCTCTGTAATTCCTTTCATGGCATCGATGCAAGCTTCAAATGGTGAAAGGCACACGTACCAACCAGCGCAAAAAAATCCAATAGGCCAAGCGAGAAACCAGAGACAAAGAAGCCAAATGATTGCCCACAGCACGTTCATTTTCGCAACGTGGCCGAATTCCTAACAATATGAACCCGAAACACGAATATTTAGAAAAAGGCGTAGAAAATACTCTATAGATAAACAAAGTCAAGATCCAATCGTGGCTCTTACTCACGGGTGAACTCTCTCCTCTCTCAAGAGTTAACCTGGCTTTCTCGAATTCCGCTTTAGTTCAAAGCTATTCTTATGTGACCTTTTAGAGATTACCTTTGTTTGTAACTGCGTTACTCCTCTATCTGAACCACAGTTACCCCAAGCTCGTAACACGAACGAACACGACTTCTCCAACGGGCGGTGTTGTATTTCACGCTATGAACAAGGGTTTAAGCAAAAACTCAGTGAGTTTTCTTTAAGGTATGAAATCCCTATTTGCTAAACTGCAGAATACCCGGCCACTTTGTTCCGCCTCACTTACATGTGTCGGGAGGCTTTAAAGATCGAGACATAACACAATAGACGGTATTCTTATTCAATGACATGTAAATGAGTGGCCGGGTATTCTGCAGTTGCTCCGATCTATTACTTCGAAAGTAAAATTTGTCTTACCCTCCTGCCTTAAAGTTCTCTTTTTAGTGTTCTTTGGTGCCGTAAGTAAAAGCACTCTTCGGTGTTGTCTGAGGGAAAAGCCTCATTCACCATACCATAGTTATTCGAGCTGGTTATGGAATACTGAATGCAACACCGAATAGTTAGGTGGGGTTGAAAACCTTGGACTATAATAGGATGCTAAGAGTCTCAGTGACTTCTTTGAGCAGAAAAAAGAATCCACTGTTCTTCCCTTTCTGGAAAAAACCCATGAAGGCATTCCTTCGTTATCCTTGACGCCCTACTTTGAAAGCAGATCACACAAATGCACAATGCTTCGACACGTACCACTGTCAAAATACCGTCCTTTAATGAAGATTTTGTAAACATTACAGATATAAAATGGGTTTAAAATGGATAAAAGCAATGTTATATATGTTAGATGCTAAATAGTAAAAATATATAATTCTTCAAAAATCTGTGACTAAAATTACTTCAAGCGAATGAAAAATGCAAATACAAGTCAACACGATGAAGCCAGCAATCACAATTGAAAATCAGCAATGTTACAGATTCTGAATTCCTAAACAAATCTAATCAATCAGTTCTAACCTGCTGCAATATCACAATTAACCCCTCAACTCCTAAGATCTGATTATTAACTCTCCCCTCTATCTGTTCCACATTTCCTTGTAAATTAGTTGCAAGACTTTGGGGTTATATCAAGATGACAACTTCTATCAAGTAACTAAGTATTCTCGTTGCCTATTTGCTGATGATGTATAAATATAACGAGAAGTAACATTTTGATCATTTCTGGAAGATAAAGGGTTAACAGCAAGCAGCAATAGCAAATTCACATACAAATCTATGTAATAAATTATGTTGGAGGCTTAAAATTTAAAAAAAAAAACAAATACAAATCTTCAAAATTTATCTAAATTTTCTTGGATTGAATGAAAAATGCAAATACAAGTCAACATGATTAACCCAGCAATCACAATCAACAGCAAGCAGTTTACAAATACCAGATTGCATACAAATCTAAGAAATAATTATTCAATTTTGCATCTATGAATAGCTTCAGACATCTGAAGAAAACACAACACTTAAGCTCTGTACAACTAGTGTATTTTGCAAATCACCATTGATCTGAATTACACAGCTTACCAGAATTTTTTTAAAGAATACCTACTTAAGGCAACAACTAAGACTTTATTACCTGCCCTTGTAGTGGAAACGATCTCACACCCCTCCCAAATTCCTTCACAGGAGGTTTACAGGCAGGCCTTGACTGAATGGGGGGAAATCAACTCTGCCCAAGGAAGAACCACAAGGAATTTCATCCAGATGACCAGATTTAGTTACTCAAGAAAATTGAATACCTAGTGATGGGAAATTAAAATTTTCTCCTCACAAGTGAGGGCTTATATTTCAGATTTTTGCATTGGTTAAGTGCTGTTAAAATGATTATTATTTGCATCAAAAAGGAAAACCATAAATAAGGATTTAAAATTTTGTGTTGAAAGTAAAAAGCTATATCTTGTGCCTGAAAATATATATCTGTTAAAAGAAGGTGTATAAATCTCTGATATTTTACGTCAATGTCGGTGAATAATCCTGAGAGCAAAAGATGAAAAGTTTTGAAACTTCCCTTCCAGAAGAATGTAGATTTTATTCTAAAAATATGAATGAAAAAAAAATTGCTCTTGATTATAAGGCTATATGGCAATTGGGCTTGCACTTCAGATTTTTCCTTACTATAGTTAATTGCAGTTAAAATGATCACAACTCAAACCAAAAGAAAACCATAAATACAGATAAAAATGTTTGTGTTGAAAGTAAAAAGCTGTCTTATGCCTGAAAATATATATATCGGTTAAAAGAAGGTGTATAAATCTCTGGCAATACTAAAATAATTGTTATCACAATTAATCAGTAGCCGTCCACCCCTCAGAAAGGAATAAACAGCTACATAACATGCGATAGCTTTCAGTCATGTTTCAACCACTGTTTAATGCAGCCACACATCATTCACTTTGAACAAAAATAAGTCTTGACACTGGACATTCATGTAGCTCATAGAGCTAAAACGGTCAGGGATCATTAGTCACCTAAAAATGCAAAATGTAGTTGAATTAACACATTGGCCATTTTACAGCTGTGTACTTAGCTGCCGAGCCTTTGATTTGGAGTTAGGCTGAAGGTGACCTTACCGTGATAGAGACCAGTATCTAGTTGGCATGATAACAAAGCAATTTGCATTTGAAAAGCAGCAAGGTTTGTATCAAAACAAGGTCAACCTTAGCCTCACTCCTATTCAAAGGCTTGGCAACCAAGCACACAACTGTAAATTAAATGGACATGAGACATGAGGTGTAATTGCTTCAAAGAAAGGATGCTTACAAGTCATAGGATATTAGACAATTCATATAAAGAGGAGTTTCTGCTTAGCTTAATCTGCTAGTTTACAGGGAATCCACAGAACACTTTAAATACTTTCCCACCACACCATAACCCGCCAGATATCTGTGCCGAGATGCTCCCTTGCAATGTTATACCCACAAAGCTTATGTTCTAGTGACAAGACCATTTTTGAACCTGATATTTAACCTCTTCATGCATGAAAGGAACTAGAACAAATTACTTGTTTCTAATTCTTAGAGTAAAACACACAGCCTCCCCAAAACACCTCTTAATTACCAAGTGATGTAAAACTATGTAACTGAGGAATTAAGACAAACTGCCATACCAATACTAACCATTTTAATAACAGTAATAATAAAATGCTGGTACAGTATATTGGGTTGTGCTTGGCATGGTATACTGGGGTGCCTGAAAAACAAAAAAATTTACATACATATAAATACAATTATGATATTTTTTTACTAACCATTGGAAGGTTTGCATATAAACCAAACTGAAAACATTCTAACATATTCATTGCCAATATTTAGGGAACACTGTTATATTTCAACACTACATACCACATAATTGATGGGCTGCTGAATTGGATGGTTGTATACCTAATCATGAAATGAATAGGATGTGAATGAATGTGTCTAAGGCATTCTCTAAAGAAAATGTAAAGTCTTTGTTGAATGGCATTGACACAAGTCATGAAGAATAGACATAATTTCACCCATCTTTGATATGCCTTACAAAACAAATTGGCACCTTTTTTTCAGTTTCAACAAACATTTCATTCTAAACTTCTCTGAATTCATTAATGTGTTGAACAAAAAAGAGGCTGAAAGTTAATTAATTCCAAACAATATTGTTGAGTGAAATAACATTACACAAATTTCTTTTCTGGATTACATGGTTTAATTCTTTGTAAGGTAATTTTCCAAAAGATATTAAAAGATGCATGGCATAGTTCTTAAAAACTAAAAAGATAACAATGGTTAGTAATAAAACAAAAGAGGAATAAAATAAATAAGTATTAGCAAAAACAGCCAAAAAGTCTCTAATAGCAATTAAGTTTGTTAAATAAGGCTTCCATAATTGCTGCATTGTGCCATACAACAGAATTTAAACTAACCGCATTGCAATTTATCAAAGGAGGCATATTCATGTTCATGTTTGGCTCTACAGGCACAAGAACCAGTTGTTGTGGTTGTGTCCCTGAATAAGAAATCAAAACATAATGCCTCAGTCAAAATTTAATGAAGCTATGTTGATGTACTATACAAAATTATTCTCCAAATGTTAATTTTCATAATTTGTAGCTTCTTTTTCTTCTTGTAAGCACAGTAATGTTCTGACATCACACTTTCTATGATTAAAATTGGAAAACAGAATATCTTTCATTAAAGGAATAGAGTACTTTTTTTTTCTCCTGTGTTAAGATAGCCTCATGACTTAACACTCTAAATTGTTTTGTAATAAATGCCAAAAAACACATGAAGTGAGTGATTGACAACTTGGGACCAAAAAGTATCCATTGTGATCACTGTAATTTTTGCATCTACACCATGTGCAACCCGAACTAACCTATTTGATTACTGGATCCTGTGGAAAAGAACTGTCCCCCTGTCTAAAAAATAAAACATTTTTATAGAACATCATATTACACAGTTCAGAAATCAAGGAGATGTTGTAACATTGTTCTGGTACTCAAGGGAGAACCCCTTTAATTTAACAAAAAAACAATTTTCATCTAAATAATTTGCACTTGAGAGGGAAAGGAGCTTAAACCAAAAAATGACTCTTGTTTTTTCTTTATTATTGGGGCCAGTCCCATGAGTTGATTCTTACCTCTTTTTTCACTGCTTTTCGGAGGCGCAGTTTCCTTCCACCCTTGTAATCAATTGTTCCCTAAATTGGTAGAGATTACTGAATAATATTGTTATATCAAACACAAAATTGATATCTACCCCTCAGTACACTGTGATTTCATATATGCTGCTGTGTGCTTTGGACTTGCACAGTCAGGAGTCAATTCAACACAACTAATATAACCAACCGCTATCTCCATTAGTTTTGTGGCTGGTAATATGTTAGGATATTTAGGGACTGTAAGTAGCATGTGATTCATGTTGTGAGCTCCAAATAATACACAGCTGTTGTCATTTTACTGTAGAATACTAAGCTCAGATCTGGGACTTAGAAGCTATTCAGATCAATCATGAAAGACATTTACTCCATCAAAGACCATTAAATAATCTCTGAAAATTTTCCAAAAAGATATATCAAATCCTAGTATAATCCTATAATTGATATTTTTCTCTATTCTCATCACCTACCTGCTTGATATTGTATTGATATTGTAAGGAGAAATTCTGTCTTGGTCACTTGTGGGAGTGAAAGGGTTAAAGCTTATTTTTTTCCTTCTTTGAATGATGCTTGTAAGTTCTGCATCTGTTTCAAATATTATAGACCTTCACTTAGATCTGGCTAACTAACAAAAAACAGATATAAAGATACCTTTTCAATGAGATCATCTCTAGCTTTCGTTGTGTTGAATGTAACAAAACCGTAACTGCAAAAGACAAAAAAATACATCTTTAAAACTACAGACGTATGTAACCCTAAAAACTTGAGAGAGAACGTTAGGTTAAGAAAAGAAAAATTTCCGTGCCACTGGAAGAAACACAATCGACAGAGTCACGGCTACCGGTTTCAACATTGAAATGTAACAGAAGTCATTTATTTCAAAGGCTAAATGCCATGTTCAGTTCACATATTGGGGCTTCTACGCCTGTTTTTAAAAGAGCGAACCTTCGCTAAATTGCTGACCCTACGTGAAAAAGAAAAGGCCTCCCATCCGAAATGATTGTATTACGATCTTACAGGCAAACAGAGACGATGACGAAACAGCCGAAATTAACAACTGGCCCAACTGTGGCATTGCACGCACATTAAAACCACAGTGTATATTTCTTTCTGAGTCATAAGCGAAATTAATTTGACGGCCAAATTTTGAGTTTCTTGATTAAAAGGTGAATCATTTCTTTGAACTATTCTGCCGAGGATATCTCTAACGCTGTCACAGCCACGTTGAACATAGTTATAGCCACTAGAGAAATTTTTGGTTCAAGCAACTGAAAGACAGGTCTTTTTTCCAACGTTTCTTCGACGGCGCCGTTATCGCAATGTCTTGATGTATCTTAAGGCGCCTTGCTGACGACCCGACTCCTCTGATAGGTCAAAGAGTTACCGGTGGTGGCGCGATGAACCGAGAGTTTGGGATCGTTCTCGCTGTAACGTCTTCTCTCCTTTGCATATTCATGGTTGACAGAAAAAATAACTGAGTGGAACTTCCTGTTTGGAAAATTTAGTTCTTCACTTGAATTAACTTACCCTTTATTGAAGCCAGTTTTCCTATCGCAGACAATGCGAACATCCGTCACTTCACCAAACGTACTAAAGAAATTCTCGAGCTCCAACTCGCTTGTCTGTTAGAGGAAAAAAAAACTGGTTTGTCAGACTGAGCCACAAACATAGCTTGAAATTTTGGCTAAATTGATAATAAGCAAGAATTGTTGCAGCTATTTTATTCCACAAATACACTAAATCAGTTTCTACAACCAAAGTTGTGATTACGTCTCTCCAGAAGACTACCTATTTGTGCCTTCAAGGCCGCAGATCGACAACGCCTTTACTTACTTAATTTTGTCAGAATAGCTGAAAAAATATTTCGAAAAACATCTAAATTCAATGTTAAATATGTTGTAATAATCTTTCGATGCAAATAAAATAAGCAAAAAGTCTGTTTACAGTTCACTACGTGAACAGGTGTACAACAAGTGGGCGAAATGGCCACTTCTAACACAACTTCAATTCGTAACAAATGAGATAGAACAATCAAACAAACAAAAAACAAACAGACAAACAAACAAACAAAAAAAACATACAAACATGTGCAGTTCTTTATCTGAAAAAAATGACGTTAAGCTTAAACTCTGCTTTGCAATAGTATGCACAACTGAACTGGGCAGAATGAACTTCGAAATGTACCTTACGATTATGCGTTCGCAACTGAAAACAACTACACCATCATTCGAATGATAAACGCGAGATCTTTAAGATCGGATACTTCCAGTGGAACCATAAAAGTAAATAACACTTCGGAGGATGCTCTAGAAATATGCTCAACTTACATCGCGAGCAAGTCCTCCGATGAAGACCCGATTGATAATTTCGTGTCCATCGGGTACAGTTGAAACCTTGAACAAACGCATGAAAGAAAAATAGTTTTAAAATGTGATACTTAGAAGTTTCAGCGCCATTCATTCAACTGTAAACCAAGGAATGCGTAGCGATTACTGTCAGAAAAGTACGGGTGTTTTACGTAACTATACAAGCTTCTCAGGATTCATTGTTCTAAAGATGAAGAAAGCTACTCTAAATTATGTAGTTGTAATGTTTAAATAGTTAACAAAGAAGTGAACGAGTTCAAGAGACTGTTCAAACAATTTATGTTTCTTGACCCTTTCAGTTCAAGTGAACTATTTCTTTTGCTAGTCCAATATGAATCAACCATCACGGAGTCACCCTAACAAGGTCTTAAGATCTTTATCGCAATATTTACAAAAAGGCAAGGCATCACAAGACACAGAGTGAAGAAAAGGAAAAAATATCCCAAGTTATAACTTCATACGTACCGACTTCGCTGTTTTGTTCATTTCCAGTACTTTGCCTTCTAGAAGCAATCACAGTCGTACGCTCGTTATTTTGCGTAAACTTCCACTGCTGATGCTAAAAGTCAACGTTTACTGTCAACGTTACGCAATGTGATTGGTTAATACAGAAATAACATGTCAATTTCGTAAAGCAACGCGTCAGATTCCATTTTTGGAAGAATAAGTAATGAAAGCCGTGCGGAAGAACAAATAAGTGGATCGAGGAAGAGAAATCTAACGAAGGCATCGAAACGACGATATATCATCTTAAAACAGTGTGTTCCAAATCTACGTGGGAGGGACTCAACACTTGTCAACGTAAAAGGAAAAGTGTTTCAAAACACAACTGATGACAGCTCCACAAAGGATACCATTTCCTTAAAATGCCAATCATATGATATTAATCGCAGAAAAGAAGACCTTAATCTGAGATTAGCGAGTATTTAATATACCATCAATCAATCCAGATTCCTAACTGATACTTCTCAATTAAAGTGTTAAAGAAAACAAATGTTTTAAAGACCGTAGATAACAATGTCAAAGGAAATCGATACCCAAGATAAAGTACCTTTTACACATTGCTCCTGCTGAGGTGTTTTGAAGAGTGAATTGTCCTCGGTGATCTGGTTAAAACGCTCAAAGAAACTGAAGTATTGCGGAAAATGAAACTTAAGTGTTGCGTAAAATGACAGGGGGGTCGAAACTTTTCCCAGACTATCTGGCGGGTGGGTGTTTCCTGAGTGACACCATGACGTCACTGCTTACTTTTTACCACAGTATTAACGTAAAAAAAAGTCTCTCGTTTCAAACTTGAACTTAGAAAACCGAAAAAAAAAACTGTATTCAGCTAATAAACCACCAGCCAAACATCCTTTCGGATGGTAAATTTCCAGACACTGTTTGAGTGTAGCTCGTAGAAACTCGGGCGGAGCCTCATCAGTTTTGCACTGTAGACGAAAGATTCTTGTCTCCATGAGAAAAGCTTTATTTTCAAATGCTGCTAGATATTTATTTTAGGCTGTACTACAAATTAAAGTTGATCGTTGTGAGCTATTTTGAGAAGTATTACTACTAAGCGGACGAGTATCATATTTCCATTGATATATTAGTTAAGGACCACTTTTAGGCTTTGCGTGTGTAAAAGGCAAGTCTTCTCGACACAAAGCTGCAAGAAAGCCGAAAACTTGAACGCTTATCTCGAGCTCCGAAGGCAAAACTATATGCAGCTTTGACGTACTTCTCTGAGGGTCAGTGTACTGCATCCATTTAGTAACGCGATTTTAAGAGCTCGATGTCTGAAGAAGTACAAGGACGAAGTAAGGCCTGTACCAAAAAAATAACCTTGACGTATTGGTTTAACGAGCTTCTTTATTTGCAAATTCCTACCTATAATTACACTATACCATTTACAAACAGGGAATCACAAATGTGCAATAGCGCAGTTAAGCCAGCGATTTGGCCGGAAACATAACGCGAAGTTTCGCTCGTAAATTCTGAAAATTTCTTCAACTGCCAAGGGCATACGTTCAGGTAGCTATTTTTCACAGGACTTTGATTTGTCGGGGCTAACGTATCATTTATCGTTTGCCTCTAATCCTTTTGATTCTAGTCGTAGTGGTGGTGATCATTTTTGCAACAAAACAGAGCAGTTCACATGAAAATCTCCTAGAACCTCTCTGCCCTACAAAAGTCCTTTGGTAAATATTCAGCATTTTTAAAACATTTTTAAAACATTTTTCAAACATTTCCACCTGTGGATAGTTTTACGCCGATTAAGCAACAAGGATATAGCTAATATATCAACTAGAGCTCCACAATATCACCGCTTTAAGTCTTTAACAAAAAACAAAAAAAAGGGGAAAAATATTTCTCTGTAAGATGAAAGGAAGGAAATGTGTAAAGCTCCAGCCTCTTAAAGTCTCTCGCCAGCATAGGCTCAAAAGGCTCCGTAATTTTGATATTATCTGTCAGCATATTTTCAAGTTTCCATTCTACAAATACTTTCTAAAAATCGCGAATAAACTTGAATTTTTTTACGAACAGTTCAATGTCACAGACGTTCTGCTAGATTAACATCGAACTACACTCCCTCTCACACATTTAGATCGGCCTCGAGAATTCTACCTGCCAAAAGAAATATTACCTGGTGCGCAAGCTTGAGCTCAGTTAACCACTAATTTCCTCTATCGCTGCTTCCAGCGAATCCGGCTTTCTGCGCCCCAAACCGCACTCTTTTTCTCAAATAAATTATTCGTGTCTTATATTACTGTATTTTCAGCCGCTACCTAGAAGTTCATTTGCAAATCCGTTCACATTTAGTTTTCACTCTGAGCTCCGAAGGGACCGCGTTTCCCGCCTTTGTGCAAGTTCGCAGTCACATATCAGATACAACAGTAGAAAGTCACGCTTCAACGCAGTATTTTTCTCCTTGCTTGTCTTGTCTTGTGACTGAGGGTATTTTATAATAGGAAACCCCTGCAGCTTTTTACGAAGCAATTCCGATCTTGGATAAGGTGTGTCGCTCCTGTGCATTCAGTGCTTGTAAGTAGCTCGGATAACACTGTTGTTGAGCGAACGTCTGTAGAAACTTGATCAAGTGACTCTGGGTGAAAGGAAAATTGAGATGAGGCCAATCACTCAAAATGAAAAACCAACAAGAATATAACAGATAATTTGGTATTATTGCGCATCGGCACGAACGTTTTTTCGTCTAGGGAAAGTTGTTAAAGGCTTTGAGCAACGCGAATCGGCGAAAGATCTGCCAGCGGTCTAGTACTGAAAATTTTTAGCGCCAGATCCCTGGAAAACCCCTCTCCAACTCGTCTCAAATCTTCCCGGAGACGGAGAAACGCTCGTCTGGCAGTGCTAATAACGAGCAGGCTAACAAGAGTATGCCAATGTTGATTTAACAGGCATGTTAAAAAGACGCATTTTAAGAATCAAAGGTTACGAATGGCGAGTTGTTATGAAACATTTCCTGAGCATCAAGCCGAGATGGACCCTTGGAAATTAACACAAATGTAGGAAATCAGTGCAGAGTGACCAAAAATTGATACGGTGATACGGCCTCAAACTCCCGTTCGCTCTGACGAAGGGCTGACGCTCGAAACGTCAGCTTTAGCAACTCTTCGCGGTGGTTAATTTACATTCTCAACGAATTTATCTTGTAAAAACACCCCACCGACGCAGCACCACAGATTCTCGGAAACTTACCCCTTTTGCTCATACTGATAGGGCTCTTTTCGGGCACGAAAAAGAAGTATCCATTGCATAAATATTTTGATAAGTGAAGGGTTTGTTTATAAAGACGCTTTGCGTCAATTTTCGCACTTGTCATCTTTAATCTTTTATCTTAGAGCGGGAGGTTAAATCACAGAAGGATAAAATAATCAGTAGTTTACCTGTAAATCAAGTGTGTAAATAGGATCACTCTTTATCTCTGGGTCATCATCATCTTCATCTTCAAAGTCTTCTTGATCAAAACCTGGATGATAAGAAGCTTAAGATAATCAAGGACAGCTGTTCTTATGTACACAAACCAGTAAAGTGCACCACACGTCATGCTAGACGAACTCAGATCTCACCCAGCGAGCAGGCCCTCGTTGCGGGCGTTTCTTTGCCCGCAGTAAAGAATGAGGCTTTGAGCTTGGCGAACCGGAGGTTCTACTACTAAAAATTAGTGCCAGACTCCGGGAAAACCTCCTCCCGACTCGTCTCGTATCTTCTCCCGTGCGGTGAAACGCGCATTCTGCGACGCTAATAGAGAACTTAAGATGAGACGTTTTTGAGACTTGGACAGCTACTGGAAGATGAATAAAACTCATTCTTGCGCACTTTGAGATCAATGCAGCGACTGTAAGGTGGTCGCTTTAGCATTTTAAATCAAACTGTGCCGACCCAAAAAAAGTGTGGTGAGCACTATGAAGAGAATATTTTAACCTCCGGCTTCCGTCTGCCTCTCAAAAACGTTTGTGCTTAAGCTCTCTATTAATAATCAAGGCCTCTTCGCAGGCTATTCACAATTTTCCGTCCGTATTTACAGTATTCTGCTCCTCCTCAGCAGCAACCAGACTCCACAAACGAGGGCTTTCAGATAAACGCGAACTGAGGAGGAAATTGCTTCAATTTGAATAAACAAAATTAATGCATTGGAGGCGCTAAAATGAGAAAAAGTGACGCGTCTTGTGCGAGGAAACAGAATTTTTGGAGACAACAGGAAGAAGTTTATGTGAACACTTGGTATAACTAGACACAAAGATTACTAACGTAAACATTGAGCGTAGAATTAACGTTAAAAGTAGTCGTCAAAAGGCAGAATCTCGTCACTTTGGGTTATATCTGTAAGGCCATTATACCGACTTTGTTGAAGTTTAATTGCAGAGTGCGACATAAAAAGCTATTGTTTCTCACGCGTCAAAAATGTTTGGAAGGTGATGAGAAAATGGGACTAAAATAATCGTCGCGGAAATAAAACCATCGCTTCCACTTCTGGGCTCTGGCGTAGATATTAGGACTAACAAAAATTCAGGCGACTTACAAATTCGTGATAATTTCATGAACGTTTGTTTTCGCTAAGCGCGGGGTAAATCATGGAATAATCATGAACGAGTGTTATATTCTAAGGAGTGTACAGAGGTTGCCAGTTTAAAACGAGCCCTAAACCAGCCTATAAAACTCTCCATATTCAAAGGAACAAACGAAGAAGTGAAGGGAGTTTCTCTTCATGAAAAACTACTTCAGATTTTTGGGTAAAGAGTGCAATCGTTCATTCTTGTATTAAAGCACACTATTCGCCCATTGTGCAAGATGATCATACTTCCATGTTTGCCGCGGCTCATTGTGTGAACTTGGGCTACTTGTGGTCTGAATAAAAGATCGTACCTAAGTAATCCGAGGCAGGCGCAAAAGGTGATCCAGAAGCATCGATGCCTTCTTCTTCATCATTCACGTCCTCCCAACCCTCCTCTCCCTTGAGACAAACGAAGCACAGTGAGTTAACAGGACTATCAGCTTAATACCGATCAATAAACAGCTCTGTCATAATTTCGTAAATATTGAAAACAAATACACGCTTAGAAAATTATGATGTGGTTAATAGTAAGTGTGAGTCAAAGACTGCGCAAAAAAAAGAAAAGTCTCATAGAGCAAGCAGCTAGGCTCTATATTAAGGAAGGAACTCGTATGCTTACGTCGTCCGAGTCCCCGTCCTCATGCTCGTCACCCGCCGTAGCACTTTCCAGTAACGTGCCCAGCTCATTGATGATTAATTTAAAGAGCTTGACTGGAACAGGAATCAATGTCCACTGCTCGGGAGCTGACACAAGAAGCAATGTTAAAAATCAAACAAAAGAGTAACAAGGTCCCACTAACTTAAGGCAGGAAATTGTTCTGCGTACTCAATAGACTCAAGTTGACACTAAAATGCGCCACACAACTACTAGCACTATTTGGGCGGGAAAATGCACAAAATACTTCATATTTAGGCGAGAAAAATGTTATACGCGCCGACCGATTTAATTTTGGCGGGAAAATAAAGGCATTTAAAAAAAATATTTTCAGGGAGTTGTTGAGAAAAGGATGCAAAATTGTGTATAATTGACAACCACATAAAAAGCTGGGTGAAGCTATCAGTGACTTACCTTTAGCAGCTCTTGATCTTGTTCGGATACCTACCACAAAGACAGAAAGGAAACCTCTTGCGTTTAACATGACACACCATGGGTATAAGCTCTAGGCATAGTATTCACAATTCCAGTATCTGAGCAACTGCGCTCCTACCCCTCCCCCAGCCCAACTTGTTATCAGTCGACTGTTGTTGGGTTAGGAGAAGGGTAGGTGTGCAGTTGTTTAGATACTGACATTTATCCGCATTCGCAACTCATGTTTACAATGCAATCCCCAGCCGCTAAACGTCATCAACATGGGGCTTCTTGTCACATTTTCAATACATTATCCGTCAAACAGGTGATGAAAAAAAAAGGGCAAACTTAACCCAGAGAGAGTGTTATCTTGATGTAAGAGAATTTCTCTTGCTAAATGTAAAAAATTCTCTTAACTAATTCAAAATGAGATGTATAGCCACAGGAAGGGAGAATTGTCAATCATGTCTTGGGGGTTTAAGGAGGGGACCTGAGCGATTGAAATTAAAACTAAGATTTGTATTCATTGTTTTCATTCATGGGGAATATGGGTTTTTTAGGTCTCTGGAACTGAGAATCACTAACGATAAAAAATGGGCATAACATTGAAGTAAGACAAAAGCTTAGACTGAAAATAAAATTTGGTAAAACATTGAACCCTGAAGTTTGATCTTAAATTACTCCCCTCTCTCTGCCGGAGCCTCTCACAGGGTAACCAGCTTATTAGAGCAAGAGCACAGGTCGGTACCTTCATCTTGCTGAAAAATCCTCTCGCCTTTCACAATGATACTTGAAAGTCTTTTGTCACCAGTGTTCACGAAGAACTGTAGTACATTACAAAGGGCCATAGTACTACAAAAAAAAAAGAAAAAAAAAGGAATCGATAAACAGTTGAATACTTCAGACGAAACGTTTCTCCTCACCTCACCAACTCCTCTTCCAAACAAGTTTTGATTTCAACGGCGTGTTTACAGGGAGTTGATAACTGGGCATTATATACGTTTCGTATAAAATAAGAAGGTATACAGTAAGTTAACACCACAAAGAGCGCACCCAGGCGAAAATGGTAACAAAGCTCACGACCCCAGCTCTGTGATTGGTCAGAAAACTCACACCATTTTCTCAACCAGTTAGATGAAAAACTAAACAACTTGGTCACGCGCATTTCCGTACGCTTTAGCCAGTTGGCTCATTTCCTTTCTTTCGCAGCGCTTCCTTAGCATGCTTTCCTTAATTCTAATAGAACAATGTGTTAACTTTGGCTTTTCACTGCGACACTCGCTCTACTCTGCCTCTGAGTTACCTCACTTTACTGTCATATACGCCAAAGAACTCGGGTTGCCTTGCACACCATATCCTGACCACATACTCCAGCGCTGATTTGCCTGTTGGGTCTGGGACTCCACTTAGAAAATTGAGGATCGTTTCTAGCTGACTGTTCATTAAATGAAGAAACGAAAGGACCAGTGACTGAAAGAAAAAAAAAAATATATATATATATATATGTATACATATGTATGTATTTATATATCAGGATAATTCATTTACCATTGAACCGTGACTGAACTCCCAAAAGATAGACAAAGCAAACTTGGAGAGAGCTCTAACGCAGAAGATTTCATCGAAAATAAGTAATTCACAAGTGGAGGCGGTTGGCTGAGACAAAAAATTTCAACGTTTACTAGGAAACTTTCTTCCGCACTACAGGGGAAACTTCATAGATTGAGATAACCCACAAAATAATCTAACCTTCAGAAACGAAAAACTTTGTTGGTTGATAATAATTTCATATGAAGTGTCTCACCTGTATTATACTTAACGTTTCTGCCTGTTGAAGTTTGCTAAGGACTCCTCTTAAAAGCAAATCAAGGTTGTCCCCGAGGTTACTTCCGACCTGCAATGAGAAGAGGAAAATTATGTCTGGTGATTTAAAGGGATTTAAGTGCGTCCACAGAAAATTCCAAGTTGTAATGTGAGTAAAGTGTAGAATATTTATCAACCAACAGTCAAGAGCATTTAAAAATGTTTTACAGGTTTGCCTTAATATGTATCCACAAACGCATTAAGTACGAGGGATTTTGTCACTTGCCTTACTGATTAAAGTAGTCACCAGTCTACCAACAAAGGAGGCCGTGAACTCTGGAGCCCTAGGGTCGAGTAGGTGTGAAGTTGCTCGAACAACGTAAGAAATGGCGCTATTTCCTTGAGAATCCCGCCTAGAAACCAAAATTAAATTAGAAAGAAATGCACAGTTCAAGATTTAGTTGTAAGAAATAAAGGTGTTCGCATTTAAGTAAGTGGGTTACGGTACAGTGTCAGTACACCAGATAATAAAGAAATAAGAGCTTAATTCTGGTTGGCCATGATGATCATATCGAGTTTCGTTTTACTAGAAGGCTTTGTCAAGGCGATCGTTATAGGAAGGTCTCTACCAACGAGAATGTCTGTAAAAAAAACTCACTACAGTTGAGTTCATCACTGTAGGGAATGTAATTTTCAAGGAAAAATGAAAGGGTGATGGTTACTCACCAAGCACTCATCTGCTCAGGAGATACGTAGACAAATGCACGAAGGCACTGTCCGCCTCCCTAGAATAAAAACGAGGATATTTATGCTCTTAGTCAGCACTCAGGCAAAAATGGTTCAAACCAAAGGGAACTGAGTTTTTGAATAGTACGATTCCTCGTTATAATAATACTGTTGTTATAAAAGGTCACCTTTTAGGCTTTCTGTCGGATTTTCTTGTAAATCAGAAGCCAACCCCCTTCCCCCCCCCCCCAACCTCAGTATCTTGTATGACGTAAGGACACAACAAAATGAAAAGGGCTACGATCCGAACCCGAACGTCTCGACTTGCGAGTTCAAAGTGTAAATACAAGTATGCAGATCTTTTCGTCTCTGACGAACAGACTGTGTCCGAGAGAAACTTAGATATGCTGTCGTTTTAAAAACTTTATCAAAAAGTCCAACAGAAGGACAATCTTGTAAGAATGGGGAGAGGCAAGTTTGTAAGAATGGGGAGAGGCAAGCTTGTGAGAATGGGGAGAGGCAAGCTTGTGATTTGGGGAGAGGCAGGCTTGTGAGAATGGGGAGAGGCAAGCTTGTGAGAATGGGGAGAGGCAGGCTTGTGAGAATAGGGAGAGGCAAGCTCGTAAGAATGGGGAGAGGCAGGCTTGTGAGATTGGGGAGAAGCAAGCTCGTAAGAATGGGGAGAGGCAAGCTCGTAAGAATGGGGAGAGGCAGGCGTGTAAGAATTGGGAGAGGCTATTCACCTCGTAGCGAAAAATTATTCATTCTTGATTAATCATCGTTAATGAAGCTACGTCACATAATAATAATCTGAGTTGTTTTTGTGCCTCTGAAAATGAAGGTTAATTTTTAAAAACCTTACATATTTATTTGCCAGGGTAAAAAAAAAAAACACCTACGAGGCTAGAGGAAACCGAAAAAGACACTAAAACTGTTCCAGATACAGAATATTGATAAGGATTGCAACTAGCTAAGGTTATATTCTTTAATGAAGAGCGAACCGTGTGCAAACACACCAACGTTCTTTGAGCAATAAAAGTGGTGTCTAAATTACCTGCAACACCGCATTGTCATCAGAGCCGAGTATTGTTTTGACAACGACAGGAAACACAGAGTTCAGTAGCAGATCGGAAAGGGGAGGCTGTGTGCACCGAATGATGTTACATAGGATATCCATACAGACCTGCAAAGAAGTAAATACGGACGAGTGACATCGAGCGACAGGTGGAAATTCAACAGGTTAAAGAAATACGTTTAACCGACATTGAGTAACATGAATGGTAGACGCAACGTACGATCACAGGCGAGGAACTTTTTTCTTTGGTTTCGTAACCTTTTACCTCTTACATCAGCATGCATATTCTCCATACTGTTATCTACACATTTACTAAGGTGCTGACAAGGAGAATTTGTTTAACAATCAAAGCTTCTAAGGTCGGTGATCATGTCCTTTACGGTCACTTTAAGGTTTGAAGGGTTAATCGATTTTTTCACGCAGGAAAAATGAAAACATGGCGGATATGTTTTCGTTTTTCCTGTAAGGGAGCATTCAGGATCGAGGGAGAAAAATGAAAACAAGAAAGCTGTCGAAATACTACAAAACAATATCTAAAATTCGTTCGAGCTTGTTCTTAACTTTAAATGCTTCTGTGTTTTCAACTTACAGCATTTATTCCTAAAGGTGTCTTTTCTGGCGGAGCTTGAAAAATACTTATTAATGTCGGCAGAAACCTCTGTTGTAAAAGCTAGAAAAGAAAAAAAAAAGAGAGAATTTTGTTAAGAATGAACAGAGGAGTAAACAAGTAAAGATTCAAAGAAATAGCACGAGAACTACGTCAAGCATAAAAGGACTCCTGTTCGGTCCTTGTTCGGATGATTTCGTTTAATGTCGGATGTTTTTCTCCCTTTCTCGAACAGTTCTGTCTGATTTCGGACAGTTACGTTTGACTTCGTACGGTTTCATCTGATTTCGGATCATTTCGTCTTATTTACGGACAGTTTCGTCTGATTCAGACCGTTCCGTCTGATTTCGAACGGTTTCGTCTGATTTTGGACAGTTCTGTCTAATTTCTAAAGGTTACTTCTGATTTCAGACATTTCTGTTCGATGTCGGACGGTGCCGTCTGAAATCAGACATTTAGGTCTGATTCCGTTTGATATCGAAGGAAGTTGTCTTATTTTGCACAGTTCCGTATGATTCCGGTCAGATCCTTCGTATTTCCAGCAGCTTTGTCCGATTTCCTGTCAGATATTGGAGGATTCGTCTACATTTGAGTGTTGGCAGGCTCCGCCTTTTTTGTGCAGGTTGCAGCCCATTTAGGTCACACTCCCTAACAATCCTTGCGCTTTTTTCCCCGACTTGGAACCTGCTGGTTGTTAAATTTGAAGCTTTTATGGAAGTAAAAGAATTACCTTGTTACAAGCCTCTATCATGGCAAGTTCTTTGAATAAGTCCTCTATCAACGGAATAAGAGCCGCATCTGAAAACAAAGACAAAGTTAACACCGAAGTGGCGGGGTATTTGGATTGACTCTCAACACAGGACACGAAGGGGCGTTTGTAATCTCGGGACTTATTGTGTGCAGAGCTTCGCCTGAATAGCTGTGTAAATATTACTTTGTGTACAGAAAAATCCTGGGAACAGCATTTCTTTTGAAAAATTTCAATAGTTTTATGTGATTATAATGTAGTTATAGCGTCATCATACTCTTGAGAAACAAGTACAAATTGATAACAAGTCAATGCAAAATCTCATGCGAGAATCTTTGACTAGTGAGATAAGTCAGGCGCGAGAACTTAGTTTTCTGTTTTCAATTTTTTTATTATCACTCACACTTACCGTGAGCATACTTAATAAAGAGCGCTATCGTCAGCGGTGTTATTTTTCCTTCACAAGACGTTGTAAATTCCTTGTTAACCTGAAAGCAAGCAGTATTCATCACTAATGACAGATGCTTAGCGTCGACAACTATTGACAGCCAATCAAAATAGAAGAACAAATCACAAAGAGCCGCCAATAAGGACTCCAAAACGCTAGCCTACATGTAGCCGTACCCTCCCCCCCCCCCACCAGGAGAAACTCCTTTGGGGATGGGAGGGTTCGGCAACACATAAGCTACAAAACGCTAGAAAAGGCAATTAACCAAGTCGCGTCTTGTTTTAGATTTAGATCTGATTGGTCGAGAGGGTGTGGCAAATTTTAGAAACCAATCGCAAACCGCAGTGAAGCATGAACAAGACGATTCCCAATTACTTTCGACACTCAACAGAAAATCGCTCCAACAAAACAAACCTGAGCCATCATCTTACCGACATGACTATTCTAAGAGACTCGAGAACGAGAGCCAGCACATCGTCTGTCGTTTGAGTCGCCATGGTTAGTAACCCTTCCATAATCTTGACAAGGTACGGCGTTAGGATCTGAGTATTATTTGACATCTTAAGATGGGCACAGAATCTGCAAAAATTCACAAAAATTCAGTCTATAACAAACAGGGCTACAAGACTACTTGACGACAAACGACGTCAAAACTTAACCCTTTAACTCTCAGAAGTGATAAACATGTAAGTTCTCCCTATAATATCCATACTTAGTCCAGCAAATAGGTAATGAGAATACTCAAACGTATCAGGTAGAAGTTGTTATCTTGATCTAACACCAAGTTCTCATAACTAATTTACAAGGAAATCTGTATCAGCTAGAAGGGAGAATTAACAATCTGATCTTGGGAGTTAAGGGTTAAAAGAAACATCTCAGTGGTTAGTATTTTATTGGCTCTACTTTTAAAACTAAGTTGGCCGGTGCAAAGTTCAAAAAGCTAATCTGCATTTTGGCCCTTTAGTGTGATATAAAATTCCTCCCAGTTTAGAATTCTGCACCTTGGGTCATGACTTTCTGAAACCAAGTTTTTGGGAGCATATGACTGGTATCCTCTAGCCTCCTCGCCTTTTTTACGTTAGTGGTGTTTGTCGACACTAACCAACGATTTCTTGACTTCAATAAAAGAATGATAAATCAAAAAGAAGAAAAAATGGTTTACTTACTCATAAATAGCTCTAACAGCTGATATTCGAACTGCAGGTAACTGTGCTGACTGAAGACCCGTGACGGATGCTTCGATGAAGCTAAACATGAGAAATGGTAACGGGTTCAGAGCTCAAAGATATACGACTTGTAATATCAAAAGAGAGGGAACCTCGCACACAAAACATTGAAATGAAAATTGTTTTTTCGTTTTATCATTGTAGAGTAAGCCTATTAGTCTATGAGCTGCTAATGTTCTGAGGTAATACTTTGGATGCTTAGAAAATTAATGTCACTGAGCTCAAGAAGATTCTGACAAAAAAACGTCAATTCTTTGGAGAAATTTACTCTGCATTAGTCATCTTACCTTGTTAAAAGTTCTTGAGACATTAGAGGAGTAAAACGACTTGCCACCCATAACGCTTGACCGATGAGGAAAGGCGATACTGAGAGATAACAGGAAGAAAACACTTCGAATAAAATTTTTCTTCAAAAACAACTTTACCTTTCCTTTACAGAGTAAATTTCAAAGTTTTGCTTCGGCTTTACTCCTCGAAGGACCCCAAACCTCCGTTCGCGCATTTAGGGCGGCAGGAAATTTTTGGTGGCTTCTCGAAACTCGTGAGAGGCCAGGAAGTTTCAAGAACTAAAAAAAAAAAAAAACTAAAAGCTGTTTTCTCGTAGATACCTACTCGAAAGTGATTTGGGAATTAATTGCTTTTGTTGCATCATGTTCTGTGAGCCATTTCATTTAATTATCACTGCAACATTTTCCACGCCAAAAATATTTTTGTAACTTTACCCCTTTCCACCTCAGAATCAAAGTTGGTCGGCGTTGCTTTGTGTTCTTCACTACAATGTACAACGTAACACCTTGATAATACTTTGAATATGGGGGAGTAGGATTAAAGCACATTTTAGAGATAAAGCAGTTGCTACTATTGCAAATTTCAAAGCTCAATTTCGGTTTCCCCAGCTTTTTTCCAAGTTCTTAGGTAATTTGATAGGGTGCAAAGACCTGCAAATAATTGCTATTTACTTTCAAAGGACGTATAATCACGTGAAGAAGACTAGCAGTATGTCGTCGAGACGTCGCGATCCACATCGTGAGACAAACGATTATAATTCTCCTTTGAATGTGTTATTTACCACGATGAAAAACCACAAGCTATTTTTTATATTAATTGCTTTATATCATCCGAATCCCATAATTTCTCTTTTAACAGTCTCGCTTCTCAAAATAAATCGAGTATTCACCTGATTCCTGAAGGTCTGTTAGCACAACCTGGGTGAGAAATGACGCCATATCTATAGAAACCTTGCCATTGGAGACTTTGTCAATAATAAGTGATTTAATACAACCCATTGCCAACATGCACGACTCGTGTATTTTCCACCTGAAGAAAAGAAATTTTATAAAAACATGGATTTAACCAAACCCAAAAGTGGAGCTTTAGAGGGTCAACTTTTAGACACGGAGCAATTTCGAGAGCCCTTATTTTCCTATTGGTCAGAAATCCGTAAGGACGGTCAAACGCATTTCATGACCATAAATTTCCCAGTTTAACAGATTACCATCTTTTCCTAAGTGTAGAGGCTCCGCTTAAATGCACTCAAGCTACGCTAAGACTAGGGTATTATAGTACACCATAACTGTCTTTTAGCCAGTCAGGCAACCAGAAATTCGTACGGATCAGACGCATCTCATGACAACAAATTCTTCAGCATATTTTTGGTAATCATATTTTCTTAGGTAAAAAGCCTCCGCTTGTGTGCACTCAAGCAACGCTAAAAAAATAGGCATTATAGTAAGCCATGACTGTCTTTTATTCACAACCACCATTCGAGGTAAGAGGAACACACAGATAACTTGACTCGGCTAAACTTCGTCTCACTTACCAATTAACATCTCCTTTGCTTTTTCGTTCATTTGATTCCTGTAAATGTCTGTTGAGTGCTTTTGTCAATGCGACTGCACTTTCATTTTTAAAGTCAGCAGCAACTGCCTACAAAATATCAAATGAGGACTATGCAAAAATTTGTTACAATTCCTCGAAACCACTCAACGATAGAATTAGCTGCACAAAGGCCGAGGGTAATTGGGGGGTAGGTGTTGACTCGCGCCTACGGGCACACCCTCATTGTCAGCGTTTCGTCTGTTTGCCCGCCGGAAAGTACGAGGCCTTGGGCAACACGAGCCGGCGAGAGGTCGGCAAAGGGTCCGGCACCAATAGTTATTTGTGCCAGACCCCTGGTTAATCTTCACGCGGGCAAAAAACGCGCGTGACCCATACAGACCTGGACACGTTTATAAAATTATTACAAGCGCATACTGACGCGCTTGTGTTTCGTGGCTGCATCCAATTTACGCGCTTCAAACACACAAATGGGTGTATTGAATCTAATGCAATTTAGTGTGATGTGCAGGTAAATTACAGACGATCAGCCAATTGCAACATAATAAGTGAGCCCCGTAAGAAAACGGCGTGCGTATTAAGACTAAAGGTGTGAATTGAAGGTCGAAGCTGTTCCATTCACTTACCAAGAGAACATCTTGAGCCGCAATGCGAACAGAAAACGAAAATGTATCATCGTCCTCATCTTCAACAAATTGATTAGGATTAGATGTCCACACTTGAACCTGTACGTAAAATAACAGCGAAAAAATTTATTGTTTGGTCAATGAGCCAAGTATCTGAAAGCTACCGGTTGATGGAAATGTGAGTGCAATATACACGAGAGATAATAGGCTGGAAAAAAAGAAACAACGGAAAACAAAACCCACCTGCTCCTCTGTGATTTGCATGTACAACACCAAGAAATAAATAAGTTCATCTAAAAACTTCTTGACGGTTTTCTTGAATTTTGGTGTTTCTATAAGTCCATGGATAAACTCAAAAACACTGAAAACAAGATTCTCAAATCCCAACACTTCTCCTGAAATACGAGAAAAGAAAAAGTGGTGATAGTAAGAAGATGTAATGTTGCACAAACTGTTTTTTTTTCAGCGCAATAATTGTTTTTCAATCAATTGTAGAATTAACTCACCATCAGAATCCACAGGGTCATCTGCATCATCAGTGTAATTTACAACTGTGCGGACATATCGATCAGCACTCTGAGTCAATGTATTCCACATGTGAGGAAGAATCTGCATTAGGTGTGGTGCCATTTGTTTGGTGTAGTTCTTAACCAATGTCGTTAATGCCTAATTGACAAAAAGAAAGGAAATGGTAATTCAGAATCTTTTATGCACTTCCTGGAATTGGCATCTTTAGGATTGATGCGTGTCATTTTCTGGGCAGGAAAAGTAAATAAAAAAGCCATGCTTCAGTAATTGAATTGTTGAATGCCAATGACTGCACAAAAAAATGGTTACTTTCTGAATTGAATGAGAAATTCATATGCTTTTGAAGAAGAATGTAAATTTGAAATAGAAAAAAAAAAAAGAAAAAGGAAATAAAAGAACATAACCAAAAAGACAAAAGAAGATTGATGCTACCATGACTTTAACATTTAACCTTCTTGGCTCATAAGGGGAAGGTTTATCCACTGCGCCAAGTATGCATAGCATAAGACAATGATCTGATATTAATGATAAATTTCAATTCATGCATGCATTGCAGGCCTACACTCTCACATTCACTCACAGCCAAAGGCATTATGTATTGTGTAATTACAAAAGGAAGCCAGGATGCCATGAAACAAGGAATAAGCAAGCAATCCATACAATGAACACAGAAGAAAGTTTTCAATATAAAAACAGACTGGTTAAAAACTAACTTTAAGCACTTCCATCTTCAAGCCACAATCAACTGTGGGACTATCAGACATTGCCAGAACTTCAACAAATGCTTGGGTGAATTGTGGAAGAAGAGGAAAGAGGACATCCTTGGCAATACCCTGTAATGAGAACTTGTTAAAAATATTGACCAACTTCTAAAATGAATAACAAACAAAATTGCAATACCACTGCTTGCATGCAAAATTTGCAGTCTGACTGCTTCCATATCACAATAAATACCAAAGCATTACCAGAGGTAAGAACATTTAGTGCTCAACACACTCTGGTAAATCAATACAAATTCATGTCAAGTAGAAAATTCAACCTCTTCTGACAACAACAGGAACAAACTATCTGCCTACCCCCCACCCCTACCCAAAAAGGGTTTCCCAAGAACCCCCTCCCTACTCCCAGTGAACAACTTTGGGTTCATTAAAAAATCTGGATGATTCCAAGATCTCAAAATTACCTAATGCCACTCTTCACCCCTTCCACCCCCCTTAGGAGAGGAAGAGTCTGACCAAGAGTAGGGGTTGAATTTCATTCACAAATAAGAATAAATCAATTCAAAATTAACAAGTGAAATTCTGGTAACCAGCATTCCGTTCAAAATCCCACAAGAGGGCAAAAAAAAAAAGAATAATCTTAAACCCAATTTCCTAAAGTGGCAAATGATCTCACCATTGCATCTTCTTCCATTGCACAGATTAGTGATGCACAAGTATTAAATATATCTGCAGCGCGGGATCTTGTTCTGATACTGTACTTCTACAAAAAAAGATTGAAACACAAATGACCACACCACACCATGTTGAGAGGTAGATACAGGTATGCAGACCTCAACAACATTTCAATCTTCAGCTGTATTTGAACAGACAGTGCACAATTTCCACCAACATACCTCTGCATGAATGAATATCTTGTACATTTCAGGCAGGATCACAGGTGCAACATGAGGCATCTGTGTGTCTGTCACCTCACGGCAGAACTCTGAGGATAGATTCACAAACACTTTATACTGCTACTCAGAAATAAGTAAGACTTAATAGAAACCCTTACCAGGCTAGACAACAATACTTACAATGGACATCCAAAATTATGCAAGTGCATTACAAATATGCATTTCTCTCTATTTCAAAATCTACAATTTAAACTTTCCTAACTCTCAAATTACAGTCTCATACTTCACAGTGCACATTCCTTGAACATAAGGGGCATTTGACCTTAGGTTTTCCTAACCTTTTCACTCCCAGGTGTAATCAAAGACAAATTTCTCCTAACAATATCCATACAATATCCAGCAGAAAGGTGATGAGAAAGTTATGAGAAAATAATGTATGACAAACGGTGGGGAAAATGGATATTACAATATTGGGAGTGAAAGTGTTAACCACTGTTTGAACAAGTCAGACGGATTACACCATTTCAAAAGCTTCCATTTTCCAGTAGTTGTTCCTTCACCCCTAGTAAGCTTTAATAGTGAAGTACAGTTTTTCATACCTGTTAAAACTCTCATGGCTCCATGAACCAAATTGCCATCCCCACTTGTCAATGCTTGCATCAGATTCCCAAACAAATGCGGCCAAGCTTCTGGCCAATCCCAGTATGCTATGGCTGAGATTGCATATGCCTGAAAATATATAGTGGAAATATGTATAAATCTACAAGTGTTGAGGAAGACTTACAGATGTACAAATGTTATTAAAAGACTGTGAACCTACTATTGCTTTTTTCTTATGGAGCAAGAGATTTTTTAACCTTTCAAAAGTACGTTGAGAGTTAAGTCTTTGCAAATTTACATTTGTAAGCCTCAATGTCATTTTCTCTCTTGAACCTGCTTACTCAGTGTAACTAATAGCATAACTGGTAACTCATGGTGTCATCCAGTAAAAACAGTCACACACAAGAAAGTGCTTCTAGAACTTGAGTTTTCCCCCCGGCCATGAGGATGTACCTTCCATGCTAAGTTGATCATGAGAGATGCCAAGAATAACCTCTCACAATAGATTATCCTTTGAACATGAAAACAACTTACCACACTTGACCTGACTTTACTGATTGATTCCTGTAGCCCTCCTGGTAAAAGACGACGAATCTCTTCCTTGGCCTAAAACACAAGAAAAAGAGAAGATATCAGTAACCTTTGATAATTAGCAATGTCGGAGAGAATGGTAATAATGTTGCTAAAATAAACGACCATTGACTATGTCTGTACACCTTATGAATTAAGGGAGTAAGTTTCTAAAGAGACTGTGGTGCTGCATCAGTGGGAGAGTACAGCAAATAAGTTGATAACTTAAATTAGCCATAGTTAAGAGTTTAAAAGCTGATGTTTTGAGCCTTAGTCCTTCCAAATCACTCTGACAAAGGCCTAACACTTGAAACATCAGCTTTTAAACTCTTTACAGTGGCCAATTTACTCTGCTGATGATACTAAATTACCCTGCTACACACCTTATGGTTGCCTTCTCTCCACTGAACATGTGGAGAGGACTATTATACTATTCCTTAGTATAGAACTGCCTGTTGTATACTATAAATTAAAATACTCTGTGTAGAGAACTTTATTAGCAATATCCCACACATTCTGTGCTGGAATATGCATAATTTGATTTTCACAGTTATGTGTCTTTTGTGTTTATTCGTTTATATTAATTATTCATTTGTACAGCACTCCTGTACTTGTTGTGTAGTAAGGAATTTGGTTATTAAAACCTCAAGTTTTCATGGTAAACATTGTCGCCATTCTGCAACACTACAATACTTATTTCTGAGAAATCACTTTAAAACACCCAATCTTTCACCAGCCCTCCCTCCAAGAATCAACCTTTCCAATGCATTACCCTCTTTAACCTTTTCACCATTAAGATCTTAATAATAATTTTCCTTACTGTCTGCCATACAATTCAAATGACATAAGTGCTGAGAGTTTGGTATTAAGTCAACTTATAATGCCCTAATTGATATCTTCAAGAAGAAACTATCTCATGGGAGAAACTTCTCCCTTTAGAGAATTTAAAGGGTTAAAAAAATGAAAATAGCTATATATCTGTATATGGAAATTGAAAAAAAACTCATTAAATTACTCCACAAAGATGATTTACATTTACCACTGTAAGACTTGAAGTATATTCAAAATGTACTTACAGCATCTGTAGTCTCAGGAGGTCTAAATTTCTCAGCACTGCTATTCCAGTGGGCTTCAACATACTGCTTTAGAATGACTGAGGCAAGCTGAAAATGATTTATGTTTAAAGAAAATATCAATTTTTTTACTCTATGTTACTATGTTACAATAAATAAACAAAAGACTATTCTTCAATCAGACTTAATATTCATGTAAGCTTGATGGAAACAGTTAAAAGAAATAGTAATAACATCAAATTAGTGCAGATTCATCCTTTAGTGAACTTACAAGAAAAAACTGTCCAACCAATCAAGCTGACAGGCAAGGTTATCAGTTTTGTTCAAACACGCGACATTTACATGTACATGTAACTTTTCAATGCAATCATACAATCCAAGTAGTTTGGATATAAAGCACGCTGTCATTGGTTGACAGAACATGTTCTATCAGAGTCCAAAGCATGGAGCTGAGCTAAAGCCGTCACACCTTCTGCCAATTATTACTATGTCCAACCATTTCCTGAACTTTTCTCTTAGACTGGCTTTGTTTCGTTAACTGAAAGTGAAAGTTCGCAACAAGCGAGCTGCCAAGTAGCACAAGTACAACCAAACAAAGGTTTGTAAACATGCCAAGCCCTGTAATTGAGGTTATAATGATGTGAACAGAGATGAAAAATTCCTCAAAGAGAAAACAAAATTGACAGCCCAAGTTTTCCAGCTATTCATGCTCAGTTAGATTGTAAGCATACCTACAGTATAAGAATCAAACACAGCCAACTCTTGCATAATATATATAAAGTTTCATGTTGAAAAACAAAACAGAACAAAACATGAATGATGAAAAATATAGCCAAACTGGCATAACTGTTATAATTCATGCAAACCATGGCAGTCTCAGAGCGACCACCATCACGCTATGGTCCATAACTAGTAGCTCATTGCGATGATCTACGGTCATCACAGTGAGGCAAGCCTCAACAAGCCTTGGCCACCATTTGAGTGAACAACCAAGAGCTTTGTCAGATATCCTTTCCAATGTATTGAGTGGACGGCCACATCAGTCACAGCAGCCAAGTTTTATGATGCTGTCATCCCAGGCAAGCTTCATCTTCCTGAGAATTTAGCTGTCATTCATCCATAAAACATGGGCCTTAGGCAATCTGTTGTCTACCGTAATTTCCGGTCGATTACCCGCGGGTAATCTGTTGATTTTGCATTAAATCCGCGCCACTGCGGGTAATAGGGAGGTGCGGGTTATGTGACAATTTTAAATTCTTCTGGAAGTTGAATTGAAAAAATTTCTCACCTACCTGCGTTTCCACCTCTCAAATGAATTTTATTGTATCAAAAGTGCCACAAAGCGGCACGAAAACATGATGCCAACTCGAGTTTATTTCACGCATAATTAGTTGCGTGACAAACAAATTTTTATCGGCACGCGTGAAAACAAAACCTTGATGGTGACAAAAATAATCCAAGGATATCCGGCGCATCAGTAACAAATTTCCAGTTTTCACTAGCTTGAGCTAAAGAGAATTTTCCCGTTTTAAGGGACTTGTTAGGCCCAGTAGAACAGGAGATATCGATTTTTTTGAGAAATTGCCGACAGTAATTTTAAATCCCAAATGCATCACCAGAATGTTGAAAATAATAGGTGCGAAACTTAACTAATTTCGCGCTGAAAAAGTATTTTAACGACAAATGAACAATGGATATTGCTCATTACGCTCCTACATGCTATAAAAAGGTAACTGACTGAATAAGAATTATAAACCTCGATCATTCGCGATAAGTGTATCCATGAGTCACCAATTAAGTTAAAATGCCTGCTGTGAAACGCCCACGTCACAGTTTTACGTTTGATTATAAGCTTAGAGTAATAACTCTTGCCGATGAAATCGGTAATAGAGCAGCAGCAATAATCAATCAATAAAGTATAAGCTAATATTGACACAGAATTGTGCACATGTCTGAATCGAAAGACTGAAATGTATCGCCTTAATGTCACGTTTTCGCCACCGAAAAAGTTGAATAACAACGTGCGGGTTATCCACCGGTGCGGGTAATCCGTTGACTTTTTTTTTCGCCGTATGCAATAATCGGCCGGTGCGGGTAATCGGCCGTGCGGGTAATCGACCGGAAATTACGGTAATTGTCATGTGAAAAAACTGTTGTGTTTTATAAGCCACAATTTGGCCAGATTTCACAGAACATTTCACTTTCAGAATCCATATTGAGACTAAAAATCTTTACGCAAAAGTGTTAAATTCAAACTGCCAAACTATTTCAGTTTGTGAATTATGGCAGATTGTGAACTTTGATGGTTTGACATTTTTGACAGCTTTCTTGTTCAACCAATCAGATTATTTCAACCATACTACCAAGGATTCTGATTGGCTTATGGTAGTTTGCTTTATGAGAGTATAGAGCATTTCTCCCAACTCAAGAGGTGGGGAGTGAAAAGAGTTCTCTATTAAATCTACAAGATGAGCCTTCTGGTTTTTAAGCTGACTTAACTGTAATTAACCCACAAAACACTTTAATTAAATTGCAAAATCTATCTGCTATTACTTATTATTTTGAAAAATGCTGTCACTGACTTGTCTGATAGCAAGGGCTCCCTCTCTGTCAACTGTGAGTTCTGCTAAATGGACACCAAATTCTGAAAATTATGAAGTAAAGTTAAAACTTTGATCAGCAAGTGTCTCCCATCTGCCAAACTATGAGGAGTTGTAAGAAGGGTAGGGATGCTGCACATGTAAAATAATGAAGAGAACAGATAAGCAAGACTGCAATTTCTTGATCAGTGAGGAGAGGTATTGAAGACCATCTGATATGGGAGGGGGAGAGGAAAAGATTATATGGTAGTTTTCACAGGAACATGTTGATCATTACAATATCAATAGATCTGTTGAATCTGGCCAGATTAGGAAGTTTTCCCTAAACAAGGGGTATTACTGAAGCCTCAAAATTTTGGCTGATTTTTTTCAACAACATTATATGAATCTTTGATGTTACATAAATCCAGGTTTTTCTTAAGAGAAAATGTTTCACAAGTAAGGTGAAAAAGTTTCTAAACTTAAACCATTAGTGTGAGAACTCCTCATGTAAAGATCTGAGTTTTTGCCACAAATAACTTGTTGCTGTGCTGGGCATTGATTACAATGAATTCATAGGATGATGATAGTAAATTTATAGAGTATATTCTCATGTTAATTTTCTCTAACAGACCTTACAACACTTTTCCTGCCACTTTGGCCAAACTGCATTGAGCAGTTTACATTTTTTTGAAGGAAGTTTAGAAGGTGCCTGGAGTTTCTGGAAACATTTCCAGATCACAACACCCAGAGCTATGTTCCTTCATCTTTGTGAGAAATGCTAGGGTTCTCTAACATCCCCAGCTAACCAGTACCAAGAAGATGCAGGTGAAGGAGCCTACAATTTATCATCCTAATGCAAGAAGACTACAACATCTAACCATTTGCAAATGTCATAGCAAAGGCAACACATTGTTCTCAGCTATTTTAAAACCCTGAGTATTGGTCCCCTCTGGGGCTTGAACCTTAGCCCTCCCACAAAGCAATTTTGTGCTCTACAACCTGAACTAACTAGGAGAAGATGTGAGAAGCATTATGCATAGTGCTGGCACCAGCAGTATCAAAAGCACCACATGTGGGATTAAAGTAAAGAAGGATACTTTTTGAGGTTTGCCTTGAAATATTGAGGATTCTGCCCAACTATAGAAAGCAATTGAAAACAGTAATCCAAAGTCACTGAAAAGGAAGCTACCAGACCCCCAATGGTGCCACTAATAGAAGATGGAACAAAATGAACAACATTTCAAGCCACTCAATAGTTTTTTCATTGAACGAAAAATGCAACGCATTTGCATACATCAAGCATACTATGCAATAACTGCAACATAAGAAACTTATGCACTTACTGTCCTAATACACTGTGCATATGTTAATTTGAAGTTGACAGCAAAATTACCAATCTATTTAGGGTTTGGTGGTAAAACGCAAAAAATCCGAGTTCTGTAGACTGATTTCCACGCAAACGGCGGCTCGGGAAACCATTCAGAGCTTATTTCAGAAAGTTTGCTTGCAAACTTAAGTTTTTTACTTCAGCTTTCTTGAAAGTTTTTTCATTGATTTGCATGAAGAGAAATACACATGAGAGCCTAAGAACGGTCAGAATACGTAGCTTATTACTTCTAAATGGCAATCACTAACCCAGCTGAGCTCAAAGTATCCGTTTCGCACACAAGTGACCATTCCGTGAAATGTACATCTACTAGCACGTTTTTCATTTTGATGTTTAGGAGAGCACAGCGTTCCCGGTGAATTTAAAGCAACTCACATATCCTACCTTCCGTGACCTCGAGAACCTTGAGCTGTTCTTCAGCCATCTGTCTAGATTGTTGATCTGGCGACAGGATGGCTGTCAGGCTATCTATGAGGGCCTGTTTTAATGATCGATTCCTGTCGTCCATTGCAGCAGCCATCTTGGAAATTCGGATTAAAGAAGGCAATTGCGCATGCGATTACTTTGGCGGGAAAAATTTTAAGAGAGTTTTGACCGCTGACTAGCAGGTTTTAATGTCAACTGAAAGAGGAGGCCATATCAATTCACATGAATTCTAACGCGATTTACACACAAAGTTAACTCTCGGAAAAGCCTTTGGTGGTGGAGAAGGTATTTACCGAATCGCGTCTCGTCGAAACTTTGATTTGGTGGCTAGAGACTGTAATATTGAGTAACCCAGGCCGATGTAGTGTGATCGAGGTGCTGACCTAATACTATTACGGCAGAGTGGATATCACTATGTGGTTCTGGCAATGAGAGTGAAAACTGGAATGTGGACCACTAATCTACAGTTAATTGTCAAAGTGACAGCACAACAGGAAGACAAAATTTAACTGATCAGCATGACCTATGCTTTGATGGGTTTTAGTTGATCATCCTTAGCTTATCTGTTTCCCTATCATACGTGGAGCATTTTTCCGCATCTCTGTTCTAATGCCTAGATTTGTTTCTTAATAAAGCCCTGACTTGTCACTCAGTAAGATCTCAGTTCTATTCCAAAAGGAACAACAAAAGACTTGGTTTTCAAATGCAACTGAACATTTACTTTTGCCTTTCCATTTGGTAGCAATGATGATGCTAAATTATTTTCTTCTCTCTGTCTTTATTTGTAATTAAATACTTCTGACCTTATCAAACAAGGAGCTGAAATGCTGCAACAAATCTAAAACATCACAATCATGTCTAAACACTCTTGTCAAAAAAACCCTATAAACAAATGATAGTGCACATAACCTCTCAATTATTTTATGAAAGAATCAATTTGTTTAAAGGCCTCTGTACAGAGGGAAATTTTTACATCATCAGAGAAAATAGAGGTCACTCTCTTTGACATCATACATGTCTCTAGGAGCTGTGGAGTTCATATTTTTCCATTCCCTTTTGAAACATC